AGTACTTCTTTACCTCTTGGGTATCAAGGTAACGTTAAACCTGATGCAGCTAAGCAATGTGACTTACCTGAATGTATGTCTGGCCAAAATGATGACTGGAAAGTTTTAACAGGTTGCTTTCATTCCTTCCACAATACCTGTTTGAATGGCTTAAATTCATGTCCCTTATGTAAGGACTTCCTGAAAAAGAAAGTTCAAGAACTTGGTCAAACTGCAAAACAAGCAATTCTTAATCCTAATTCAAGCACTGAAGTACCAGCTGTGAGCAAGGGCAAGGAAAATGAAAGATCTGATTCAGGGTTAGATTCACCCACTGAAACTACAACTGCAAGAGAAATGGAGCAAGATGAATTTGAAAATACTATAAGACAGCTTAATCATGAAATTGCAAGTCTTAATCCAACTTCACAACCATTCCCAATTTCCAGCAATAACCAAAGACTCACAAAAGCTGCTTCCAACACCAGAGAAACAACTACTAAGGTCCCTCCACACTGCAGAAAATGCCACCATCCTGTTTGTGGATACAAAAGATCAAACAGTTCACAGGTTAAATGTGATTTTTGTCCCAACAATGTCTGCACAGTAAATTCAGGCAATAGTTTCTCGAGATGCAACTGTTCATGGCACAGGGAAAACCACACACAGAGAGACACTCCACCAGCTCCAGCATACCAAATAACTGTAACCACAAACCAGCATGTGGATGTGACTGAGTGGCTCTTGCCTCCAAATATTTGCCAATCAACCATAGCAGGGAGTCTGATTGGAAGTAATGCCTGTACAGTTATTGCTATGCTAACTGGATGCCATATTCTTGAAGGTAAAATTTTCATTCCTCAACAACTTCAAGATCTGTCACAGGTAATTCCTCTCTACAGCCAGCTAATTCTCAAGGGGAACCATATTTACAGCTTATTTCATGTGCCTGTGCAACAACCAAACCTGGAAGTCAAAGAGGTCCTTCAGTACAACAAAATGTGTCCAAGTAGTTGTCTTTCATTTTGTTTCGGGCGAAGAGGACATATTATTTGCTAAATAAAGGTGAAAAAACGCCATTTCGCAAAATAGTAATTCTGGCAAAATTACTACTTTGCAAAACGAGTTCTATTACGGTCCATAATATGAGAGGTGACCAGGCTCTTAGAAACATTGACCATTTTATTAGTGGACATATTTTCAGGTTTTGGACGAAGAGGGCATATTTGCTAAATAAAGGGGAAAAAACACCATTTCGCAAAATAGTAATTATGTCAAAATTACTACTTTGCGAAACAAGTACTATTATGGTTAATAAAAGAAAGGTGACCAGACTCTTAGAAATATTGATCATTTATTAGTGGACACATTTTGTTTCGGACGATTAGAGGGCATATTTGCTAAATAAAGGCGAAAAAACGCCATTTCGCCAAATATCATTTCATTTCGCAAAATACTACAATTTCGTTTCGTTTCGCAAAATAGCATAAGCCTTTCTCAAGGAAGACTGGAGCATAATGCTTGAGCATGACCTTCTTAACCAAAATTTTTTAAAAAATGAGACGTCAATTCAGTGGCCATGATATCTTACTCCTTCGTAATTCATTTCATCCTTTTTTCGAGTTCAGTGGCTCACAGCCACTTTGATTTACATGAGCCAGGCAATGTTGAGAGTAGTGTCAAACCATGCACGCTACAAGGCAGTTAAGGTTTTGAACCTCAGATACTATAAGCACAGATTCATGGCCAAATGCATGACTGATTTCGCTATAATGATACGACGCGCACAGCCAATTACTTTGAGCCCATCGGGATGCCAATATTTTGTATGTCTTAGCTGATCGGAGAAAGAATTTTTAACACCATAAAATTTACAGAGACTGTGTTATATTACAGTGCGATTTACAACATTGCAAGAGGACTCAAGCACATAGTGAGCTCTCGTATAAATATCCTAAATATTACTTACTTAAATAACAAAAACATGAGCACAAGTAAGTCTGCAAACAATAATAACTTAAAAACACTGGTTGTAAATAAATATAATCCCACAAAAAATGTTCTAATTAGATTAGCAGGAATTCTTCTTCCTGCACGTATTCTCCAGAATTTTTTAAGGTCACTGGATGATGGGTAAAGTAATAGATTCCACCATGCTTTTCTTGACAACAATGGATGTGCCAATCAAGAAACCCTGTGAAATCTTACACAGCTACCAAATTATAAAATCAATTTCAGAGAATGTAAACCTATTCTGAAAATTCCAGAAATGCTTATTACATGCAATGTGGGAAGTTACTCACACAATATTTAGGGGAAGAATTCATAAAGAATCTTGTGTATTGATCAAAATATTGGGTCAAATTGCTGAAAAAATCCTTCTATGATGTCAAAATGTAATACTCAGTACAAATGTTAGTAGATAAATATATTCCGAGATGACCTCAATTCTTCTCCCAACATGGTCCAAGTAAAGGAGACGGCACTTAAATTTAGCACAAGAACATTTAAATGTAATTAATTCTCATGTTTTTCAATAAGCTGTGCTCCTTTGATACTTTCTGTTTGATATTTTTGGTCCAAAGTCTCAGAGGAATAACTATTGCTGTGATATTGTCTTCTGAACCATACTGTATTGCACAATGTGTCAGAATGTTAGCAGCATGTTCAGCATCAGGACAAGTCTGTACAAGGTCAGTTATTTCCTCATCTGACAT